TTATTAATGAATGTACCAATAGCAGTAATTCACTTATTAATTAAGGTAACACATTTACAAATTGAACCTTAAATGCACAGTGTCAACGGTGAATCAGTGTATGTACTTCTGCCTTTCTCCATTGCTGGTTACTGAGGCTCTGCTGCTACTATAGCAATGGCTGCCTTCGTTCAAGGGAAATTATTTTTCATATTTTCTTTAACAAGCGTAACTCTGTCTCATTTACTAGTATGGTTAATAGAGAAAGTGCTTGTGGCGTCGGTGACATTGACTGATCTACTTTTGCAGGCATCATTGCTAACTAAATGCAGTTCCTCAGGGCATGTGAATTTGCTAAACATTACCCTAGTGACCCTGGAAATAATAATAGAAGCGATGGCAAAGGTAACTGCAACAATACAATAACCAGAGCTAGTAAAGGCATGTTTCCCTGGTTCACTTCTGATATTGCAGAGGTCCCAATTCCCATTCATTTTCTTGTGAATGCATTTCACTTTTCTCTTTGGAGAGCTCTGTCTGAGACTAGCAGGAGATCAGAGGGGACTGGGTAACAATGACAATACTTAGTATTTTATGTCTAACTGCTGTACAACACTGGCCCACTGTCACATGCCCATAGAACTCCCAATCAAGTCTTTATTATACTTGCCCTTGAAGCCAAGTAAGAGCCTTTACCCAGCGAGTCATTTGCTGCCAGGAAATCCCTAACCTGCAGATCATTATTGCTTTTATAAACCACAAAAGTACAGTAATTACCTTTTTGTGCAGTAAGCAGAGCTGGTCAAATATGTGGTTTGTGAATAAAGTACCCAATGACTTTAGCCCTTCTTTTTCTGATCATGAATCATTTGTGAACTCCTCCTTATTTCTGTGAATGTACATGGCAAATATGTGCAAACTACTAACCGTTTGCAGCTGATGGGTTCATTTTGACTTTTTGTGGTGCGTGACTGGTCATGTGGGCCACAGTGCCTCAGCTGGGCTGAGGAGAGTGTATAAAGCAATTCAAGTTGAGGGCAGGGTGCAAAGCTATTCTTTGTACTCTTCCTCCAATCCTAGATAGGCTGTGTGCTGGGCCGATAGCTCTGTGTAACTTACAGCAATCTGAAGGCTGCTGTAAATTGTCAGCTGCCAACAGCCCTAAGAGAATTGATGCAGCCATTGGAAATGAGCAGGACATATGGCAGCACCGGCTGTGGCCCCTTCTCTCTTTCATTTACCCCTTCAGTGGCATCTGGGAGCAGTTGTACAGGAGATGCTACACTGGCTCTATACCAGTGAAAGATCCCCTACTCTAGAGTGATCCTCCCTTGACTAGTTGAGCTGGCACCAGGGTCAAGATTTGCTGCCAGCTCAGCATGGATGAATTGGACTGAGGATTTTGGCCCATAATGTTTGTACTGTTCTCTAACTCTAACCCTAATGTGACTTTAAAACTTTTTACACAGGAGACTGGGAAGTGGTGAATAGTGTTTAATGAATACTATTCCTTTGCACAAGAATACACTTGCTCGACTGCAACTCCTGGAATGGAGAACAGCATTCCCCAAACATTTATGTGATCAAAAACTCATTCATCACAGCATATACAAAGGGCTACAAATATGTCTGGATCCAGTAGCTATTCAGAAGTCAAATGTTTGTAAAACAGGTTTCTGTGGTATTTGATCAGCTGTAGTGGTAAATTAGAAACTGAAGTGTGTGTTGCCCTGGATATGATATTCTGCTTATGAGAGGAGGCCAAGATTTTCAAAAGTAACTAGTCATTTTGGGTGTTCAGTGTGAGATACTTTAAAAATGGGTCTGTTTTTCTGAAAATCTTGCCCCTTAAAGGCATTTCAAACTGAGTACCCAAAATCTCTAGTCATATTTGGAAGTTCTGCCCCTAGTATTTTCTTATCAGTAAGACCAACACACAAAACAATAGGAAAGCAGAAGTTCGTGTTGAGCACTCCATCAAATATAATAATTATTGATAAATATTGCCTTAAAGTCTTAGGCCCTAATTCAAGAAAGTATTTGTAAGCACATGTTTAAATGCTTTCTTGGGCAGGGATGTTTTCCAGAACAGGGGCTTTACCATAGTAATGGGCTTACAATTAAAGGAAAACAAAAGGAACTGTGGGAATCAATACACCAGACTTCCATAGATCAAATAATGGAGGGGTCAGATCAGGACTGAAAGTTTTGTGAAAAATGTGGGGGACATGATGGGACGGGACTATATTTTGGCAGCATGTTTTTTTGAAAAATCCAATATGTTTTGTTTCGGGAACCTCTGGTTTTAGTAACCATATTACACTGTTATGTCACATATTATATGAAACAGAAATAAGTATATTAAGTCAAAACATAATACAAAGGACAGATAAAATTAAAAAGTATGCACTGGCATGAAAAGTTGCTTATGTAGTACATTTTGCCAGCACTGAGGCTGACCCAGCTTTCTTCCCATTCTGAACTATTTTAAGCTACACTAATAATGCCATAAAAGTGAAAAGCAGCAGGCTAACAAATTTTTTCCTCCAACAATCTGAGAAGTAAAGTAGATTGCATGGTAATAAGCACTAAATAAAAATACAATTTTAGATAGACTGCTGCAAAGTTGAGCGTCCTTCCCTTTGAGTATTTCCCAGTGCGACATTCCTCCTCTACCTTGGTGGGTCTTGCGCTTATTGGCGGATTTGCTCACCTTGGAGCTTCACAACAGCCCTCAGTTTGGCTGTTTTCATGAACCCACAGTCCAGGTCGACTCCTCCTGTGTCTGACCAGGAGTTGGGAGCTTTGGGGGGAACCCGGACCCGCCCTCTACTCTGGGTTCCAGCCCAGGGCCCTGTGGAATGCAGCTGTCTAGAGTGCCTCCTGGAACAGCTGCGGGACAGCTACAACTCCCTGGGCTACTTCCCCATGGTCTCCTCCCAACACCTTCTTTATCCTCACTAGAGGACCTTCCTCCTGGTGTCTGATAATGCTGATAATGTACACCTCAGTCCTCCAACAGTCCGCGTTCTCGCTCTCAGCTCCTAGTGCCTCTTGCTCCCAGCTCCTTTCACGCGCACCATAAACTGAAGTGAGCTCCTTTTTAAAACCGAGGTGCCCTGATTAGCCTGCCTTAATTGATTCTAGCAGCTTCTTGATTGGCTGCAGGTGTTCTAATCAGCCTGTCTGTCTTAATTGTCTCCAGAAGGTTCCTGATTGTTCTGGAACCTTCCCTGTTACCTTACCCAGGGAAAAGGGACCTACTTAACCTGGGGCGAATATATCTGCCTTCTATTATTCTCCTGTAGCCATCTGGACTGACCCTGTCACACCAGTTACAACCCTCCTGGTTCCTACAGTACTTCTTAGAAGCTCTTTAGCAGCCCTGATCCCTACAGCACTCCGAAGAGCATCCTTGCTCTTGCAGAATTTAGAAAATATGCAGCTTTAGATAATTGACCGTAATCAGGCTATGTCAATGTAGCAGGTTCTACTGTATGAAGCTGTTGCGCGCGCTATATATATAATATGGTAGCATCCCATGGGTAATGGAAAGTTTTTTACACAAAATCATAGGCATTGGAAACTGAAAAGGCCTATTATGTTTGCTAGTTCATCTGCCGTGCCAAAGTACTCCACATGGGTACTTTGGAATTAACCAAAACCTAAGTGGACAATGATGCAGCTTTTGTAATCACTCACCGTAGCAATTTTTCAAATCCTGACCTTCAGTACCAAAAGCACAGTTAAAGAAGGAACTTTAGCTGGCAGCAGAGTAGGCTGCAGGAGTAGTCCCCAGCCTCTAGTGGGTGACATAACACATTTGGTGTGTAATACACACACACTCCTGCTAGGGCAAGTTGATCCCAAGCATCTGAGGTCAGTAGGTATTCAAACCCAAGCACAGGCCACAGCCACAGGTCATCAGCTATGATTCTCTTTTATGTGGAGCAGCCACTAGAAGGAACAAATATTGTAGACTCTACAAGTCAGCCCTCTACTTATCAAATCTGCATGCTTTTGTGTGAAACAACTAACTAGTGGTGGAGGCCTGAGACAATAAGTTTGGCAGATGGGTCCTTCTTGCAGTGGCTGGGGAGGATTGTGCAAGTTTTATCTTGCCTTCCCTATAGCTGTCTATAGGTGCAGGATACTGCTCTGGAATCAGGACTGCCACATTCAGACATAAAAGAAATGGATCAGTCCTGAGATCCTCATGCTGAGATAATTCGGTGGGACTCCTGTTCCTTTTCTAGTGTTCTGATCTTCTAAGGATTTTCATAAATAAAATACTGGATGATGGTCTTCTCATGGTCCTTTTAAATACTTTGTGTTCAGCACATTAGCGCGTGAGAGGTTTTTAACCAAAGCAAGGTAAGTCATCTATTCTTATTACTTTTGGTTGTCATCTTATATTTCTTTTGCTCACCAGGTTTCTTTGCATTGTTTTAAATATTTACTGCTTGGGAAATTTCTTGAACTGAAGAGATCAGACATTTTTGGTCCGTTTATTGGGCCTTCCTCAGGTAGCTATGATACATATTGTTGGACTAGGAAAACATAATTAAGGAATCTCTTTTATTCACCTTAAGCAGTACTCAAAATGCTTGGTTTTTCAGACAGCACAGGGACAGTAATCTATTCCTATGGTATTTACCATGAAATAGACCTAAGTTTGATTTCCAATCCAGATGTCTTGTTCTTTAGGTTAACAGGGCTGAATTTTACAGCCAACAGACTTAGCCTATAGGTAGAAGGAATGTTTCATGCCACTTTGCTTTTTAACTGACCAGTGTTGATTGGTATCTGCAGGAGGCCATATTCTGTCCTCCTCAGTCAGAAATACTGTGGCTACAAGTGGAAAGAATTTCTGAAATTCATAAAACATTAGGCTTGGATATACTCCACAGGATCCAAACTTTGGGTTATGAGAGATACCCAAGGGAAACAAATATTTGATTTCTGAAGTGTGAAAGCAAGAGAGGATTTTATACAGTACAATTTTGCATTATACTAATTTATTATATGTGGTGTGTAACATACATGTTAGTTTAATATTTAGGACAATTAATCTTTTAGTGCAAATTTGACAAACTCAGGAAAGCTAACTTTCCACTTTTGTTATATAGGTTGTTTTGGAGGAAGTGTTAGAGAAACATAGTAGCAAGCTATAGCTTTATAACCTTCCCTCATCATCAATTCATCAGCCCATCATAACTTTCTTTCTCTTCAGTGTATCTGTAATTTTATGTCCCTCTAACCAGTAGAAAAAACACCTTTAACCAATCCCTTAATGTCTCATCTCACTCCTCTGCTCAAAACTATCATTCTTCATTGTCAGGTTTGTAGTCCATAAATTAAAAAGTGACTCCTGGCCCCAGTGAAGTCAAAGAGAGTTTTGCCATTGACTTCAATGGAGCCAGCATTTCACCCACTCTTCCTTTTTTGGTCTGCAAACCTGTTTGCTTTCACCTTTGAAATATCTAACACTGTCTCAGTGATGCCTCTGAAGTTGTTTATGTCTTCATCTTCTGTGATCTTGACTGCTGCAATTCACTTCATCATGGTCTCCATAAGTTTCAACTCTCCAGATTTCAATATTTCATTTGAGTAGCAGCTGGTCTGTTATGCAGAAATGGAAGCAAGAATTTGTTTTCCTCTTCCTGTGAAACCTCCCCTGAATTCTTGTTCATTTCATACTTCAGGATGAAATCTCAATCCGAGCACTCAAAACTTTTTACCTCCTCACAACCTTTTTGACCTCATCTCTTCATTCACCATCCCATCCACATGTCTCAAATACCAAACTTATTTCTTCATTCTCTTTAAAGCAGAATAAATATTTTACAATAATTTATTTTGGCAAATGTGTGAGTAGATCATAATTTCCTCAAATGTGTTCATTGGATTTTTTTAATGTTCTTGATTGATCAGGATCAGTTCTTTGAATGATGAATACATACATTCACTTGAGCTGCATTGGTTACTTACCAGATGGAATTGTTTCATCACCCTGACTGGATAAGCACTCAAGCATTTCCAGCATGAACACTTACTTTTCAAGACTTTTTTTGGTGTTTTTTATGAATTTCTGCCCACAGAACTTTGAATTTTTGATTTCAGCAAACATTACAACTCAATTGCACAAATGTTAGCACAAGGCAAACATAAGTGATGAGAAGATGACTGAAGCAAATGTATTAGAAAATTCAAGAAAATCAACTTTTTTGCAGCTGTATTCCTCTCTACGCTGAGTATTCTTCTCTTGCGGTCCTTCCCTTCTCCTCCACCCAAACATCTGAAATAGTTGGTTGATTTCTCTTCATCTAATCCATTCACTTTGTATATTCTCTCACTCCCCCTTTCTTTTCACTGGCCCATAATTCCTAGCTCTCTCTAATATATCTCATTTCAGTACTAATCCTTTCTCTGGCACATGATTGTTTTATTAGAAGGTGTCATAAATATAAAGGGAAGGGTAAACCCCTTTGAAATCCCTCCTGGCCAGGGGAAAGCTCCTCTCACCTGTAAAAGGTTAAGAAGCTAAAGGTAACCTCGCTGGCACCTGACCAAAATGACTAATGAGGAGACAAGATACTTTTCAAAAGCTGGGAGGAGGGAGAGAAACAAAGGGTCTGTGAGTCTGTCTAGATGCTGGTTTCTGCCGGGGATAGACCAGGAATGGAGTCTTAGAACTTTTAGTAAGTAATCTAGCTAGGTATGTGTTAGATTATGATTTCTTTAAATGGCTGAGAAAAGAATTGTGCTGAATAGAATAACTATTTCTGTCTGTGTATCTTTTTTGTAACTTAAGGTTTTGCCTAGAGGGGTTCTCTATGTTTTTGAATCTAATTACCCTGTAAGATATCTACCATCCTGATTTTACAGGGGGGATTTCTTTATTTCTATTTACTTCTATTTTTATTAAAAGTCTTCTTGTAAGAAAACTGAATGCTTTTTCATTGTTCTCAGATCCAAGGGTTTGGGTCTGTGGTCACCTATGCAAATTGGTGAGGCTTTTTATCCAACATTTCCCAGGAAAGGGGGGGTGCAAGTGTTGGGAGGATTGTTCATTGTTCTTAAGATCCAAGGGTCTGGGTCTGTAGTCACCTAGGCAAATTGGTGAGGCTTTTTACCAAACCTTGTCCAGGAAGTGGGGTGCAAGATTTTGGGAAGTATTTGGGCGGGAAAGACGCATCCAAACAGCTCTTCCCCAGTAACCAGTATTAGTTTGGTGGTGGTAGCGGCCAATCCAAGGACAACGGGTGGAATATTTTGTACCTTGGGGAAGTTTTGACCTAAGCTGGTAAAGATAAGCTTAGGAGGTTTTTCATGCAGGTCCCCACATCTGTACCCTAGAGTTCAGAGTGGGGGAGGAACCTTGACAGAAGGAAAGAAATCAAATTCTGCTCTCCCAAAATCCCAACATGCTAGCATTTTCCTTGCACCTTGGGAAGTACTACCTTTCATCTCTGCTCTTTCACATCCATAATATGAGCTGTATGCTATAATGTACATTACAGGAGCATGTATTCTACTGGGCCTGTGGCATTGCCTGTATAACAAAGGGGTAAACAATGTTTAAAAGTTTCTAGTCTCCTGTGTTTACAGTTATAATATTCCAAAATGTTCTCATCTTCAGGTGCAGTTGTGCATGACTGGCCTCCGCCCGAAGTTTGAGGAAAAATAACTTGAGATATTTTTGACAAGAAACTTGGGTTAGACATAATTTTCATTGATGATTAATACCTTGGTTGAAAAAAAAATTGGTGATGTGTAACAAACCTGAGTGACATGCAATTTTCAAATAATCAGGCAGTGTTGTTTAGGATTCATATATATTGTGGTACATGTGTTTGTGTATATATGAATGTGCGTGTGTGAGAGGGAGAGAATGCAAGAGAGAGAAAGGGATCACCATTGATGCACCTGGAATTTTTGTGGACCTACAAAAACTAAGTCTACAGACTTACGTTTAAAGATGAATGTACTGAATATGGATGTGAAGCTGTTGTAGTTAGCTAAATGTAAGCTATGAACTGTTCTCTTGTTAGTTCAAAGAATTTACGAGCAGACTACATTTGTATTTTCTATTCATGTTTCACCAAAAAATGCCGATTCGTTGAAACTGAAACAGGGTGAGTTTCAGCAAATCTCCTGAGTAGAGAAATTATTTGGGGGCGGGGGGGAAGGTTTGAAATGGTTAATGTCCCATTTTGACATTTTTGAACTGGAAAGTTCTTTGTTTTCAAGTCAAGATGACTTTTTGTTTTGAAATTGCAGTAAATTTATTCCAAAAAAGGTGGGGAAATGAAGGGGGGCGGGCAGGGGATCAAAAGAAAACATTGTTAGTGACTTGAAATGAAAATTTGTTTGGGTTTTCAGTTAAAAAAAATTGAGGTTTTGACTTTTCATCTTTATCTGGGCTGGAAAAATCTTTTGCTATCTTGCCAGTTTTCACAGGATGGGAAAACAATTTCTTGTCCAGCTCTGTTTTGCATGATTTTGGTCACAATCTTAACATTGCATTAATGTTGTCTTTTATTTGTATTCATTATTGTGTGGGGTTACTTGGAATTGGCTATACTTCATGAGAATGTAGGGCTCAATCCGAGCAACTCTTTTACATGTGAGTAACTTTATCCCTGTGAACTGCCCCATTCAACTCAATGGGAGTAGGAACATGCATAAGTGTTATGGGGATATGTCAGTCATGAGTGAGGAAAGCATCCATACTCTGGACAACACTTAATCACATGCTTAAATTGAAATCAGTTGGATTTAAGCATGAGCTTAATTTGCAGCACGTATTTAAGTGCTTTCCTGAATTGGAATCTAAGACGGGGGATATAATATCTATTACTTTGTTTTTAATATTACTTTTTTGCCTCTATGTCATGTGCAGGTGTCTGTTTTGCATATTCAAATCCAGGTAGTTAGATGTACAATTACCCAAATTGCATTTCTAAATCTGGTCTTTTACATGCCTTTAATGCTGGGGGCTGTGTGCACAAACAGATGCAGCGGCATGTTTGGGGACCAGTTAAAAACTGTTTCAATTTTATGCTGAGAACACTAAGACAAACATTTCCTTATTGTAACCCAGTAAATCAAGCTCCTGGGCAACTTTTTCAGGATATGGAGATTTCTGATCTGCAGCCTTTACATTTCTTAGTTTAAGTATAGTAGAGTATCTAATATTTAACCTTAGTTCAAAATGCAGTCAGTAGGGGGGGCCGGGAGACCTATGTAAAGCTATTTGTTTTGTCTTTTAAACACAAACTATTTGCTCTGATGATATGTGGGATATTGTACACAACAAAGGGTGTGAAAACTTTGACTTTTTTTTAAATGGTTACATTTTTTAAATTCTCTTTTTAAATACTGAGAGCCAAATCATAATACTTGTACTTACTTTTCACCTAATTCATACAAGTTCTCATAGAATTCAAGAGGCATCTGCCTGAGAAAGGACTGTGGATGAACTCCTGACCCTGTGAAGTCAATGAGAGTGTTGTTATCTATTGCAATAGGGCCAGGATTTCACCCAGTATATCTGAGTATCTTAAGTCTCACTTAAGTAAACATGGTAAAAATGTTAAGGATACACTTTTAACTGTGTCCACTTTATATGCTCCCCTCAGTTTACACTCTCAGCTCACACTGAAGTTAAAGGCAGTTGTATGGACTGAATGCAGGGGGAGTATATAACCCAAAAAAACCGACTTACAGTGTAAAATTCTTTACTAAGTATTGACAGGAAAAACACATATTGCGGGTGAGAACTATTTTCTAGTGACCTGTACATTCTTTGAATATGACTTGATTGAACCTCTTGCACTCTGAGTGCTTTTAATAGTGTAATTATAGAACTTAGAAGGGTTCAAAACATCTCTTTAATATTAATGTGTTTTATTATAGGTTTGGTGAACTCTGGATATTATGCTGAGGAGGATTATACATTTGGAGAACCATGCAAAAGCTCTTTTACTGAAGCGTTCTGTACTGTGATGTACACTAACAATAGTAAAATGTATCATTGTCAAAGACAGAAAAAGACCTACATATTCTAATTATTTTCTCTGTTAAAATAACTGCAAAGTAATTTTCAGAGAAGTGTTTCAGTTGTAATTGCTGAGGGAGAAATGCCCTAGCACAAACCTTCCATACAATTTTTTCTTTTCCGTTTCCAAATTTATCTGTTTACCAATTTATGAATAATATAGTTAGTTAATATGATATTTTCTAGTGCAGAAAAATTGTAAAAGGATAACTGCTAGGGACTGATTTAACATTAAGGTTAAATTAGATATTCAGTAGTTTCATATAAAACCTTAGTTTGCATGAAAGTGAGTATCATTTAAGCATTGCATACTGACACAATTTAATAAATCAAATTTTATTTCTGGAGGATTTATTATAAACTAGTCCTTCAAATCAGTGTGAACAATAAATTAACTTCATTACATCAGTACTGATAGAATTACTACATTTATTCTTTTATTTGAAAATTATTCAAGTGTATCTATGGTCCTATTATAATTTAGTAAGTCAGGACATTCAAGTAATACAGCTGTACATATATACCAATTTGTATAGAACATTTGAAGAAGTGTAACTATAAAACAAGCTTCTCCTTCCCCCTCATTTTCCAACTGTGCTGCTTCTAGTCCACTTTTTTAAAAGGAACAGTGTCAGATATTTAATTTTTAAAAATACATTACTGTAGCACAACTGTACTATCTTCTAGCTACACCTCTCCATAGTTTAAGAGATACTTAATTTCTTTTAGATCCAAATTTACAACCTGGTATTCTATCACTATTTACGGCAGTAAACTGACATCAGAAGAGCTGAATAATGCAACTGAAGCAATGAAGTTTGTGTATGTATAGCAGGGATTGGGACATGAATCTCATGTCATTCCTTTGCTAGTTCTTGTTGGACCCCTCTTTTATCTTGGGTTCTTGTCTGACCGTAAAAGCCATTGTCACACACTAGTCTTTGGTAGGTTGAAAGTTATGCTTTATTGCCCTTTTCTTCCACCCTTTGAAATCTGAGGATCCTATTCTTGAGGATTTCAGGATAGGATTAAATAAATTCAAGAGGGCAAGTTCTGTGGTAGAGTTTTCTTTGATCTTCCTTCCACTTACCTGTGTTATTTCAGGTGTCCCACGCCACATTTAAAATGTCAACACTGGAACTCTCTCCTGATCTGTCTAACTGGGCAATATCTTGCCTTTTGTTCAGCTCCCAGGCTTTAATCTCAGTCCCTTGCTCCTGAGTGACTCTGGAGGGCTTGGTACTGGGCTGCAGACCAAACGTTCTCGAATGTCGAACTCCTTTTCTCCCTGAAGTCGTCATCCCGCTTTGTGACCTCAAGACAATAGAGGGAAATCCTCGGGTTCCAAGCGGCCGGTTTATCTCGCAGTCCTTTAAATTGCAAAGTACTTAGAATAATCTTAAGTATTACGTTACTATGTCATGTTTAGTTTCGGGTTCTTTTCCTAGATGTCATCGAACACTTTTGCAAATCGATGTTCTTCCTCTTTTGGCCAGTAGAGGGTACCATGACCTAGTTAAGTAACCTACTTTAAGTTTTCTGCTCTGGGTAGCCAGAGTGAAATAAGAAAACAAACATCTGCATACGTTTTCCCAATGGTGCAGCCTTGCTTCATCTCAAACAAAATAGGAGCGGTTCACTGGGCAAAACAGTTCTCCAAGAAGCTTTAACTTTAACCAACCAAACACAAATCTAAATGCTTCTGATGCAGAGGGGGCCCCAAGACAAATCTCTCTGCTCGCCTCCCACTGGCCAGCCTTCGTTGAGTTAGGATAGGACATTATGCTGCACTGTGTAAAAACTGCTGAGAGCAGAACTTTTGACTCCATTTTTGAAAGAGGAAGGAAGGTGGTAAATAGTAAACTCCGAGATTATTTTCAAATGAGAGAATTTCTCAGTATTCCTAGAGAATCAAAAATCTCATCAGACCTGGAATTATTCAGCCTTTAATAAAACCTCTCTTTATGAGCTCATGGTTCCTCCAGATCATAGCATACTGTCCAGTTCCAATCACTATATTATTTCAATTTAGAAAATACCAGGATTCCTTTTGTCTAATAAAAATGGGGAAGTATTTTTAACTGTCTCAGTAATTGGGCATTTCATTTATATGCCCTATTTGGTATTATACAGTATACATTGAATAGTATATATGACTGACTTGATGCATATGCGAAAGACAGAGGCGGGTTTCACCAGTGGGGTAATCTAGTATTTGAAATCCTTAAACCAATTAATTTAATGTTTCAGAGCTACGCTTTTATATTGCTCAGCTAACCTGTAAATTTATAATCTATTCCTGAGTTAGAATTTGCTTTGACTTTTAATGGATTAAACAAAATAGTATATGTTCTCATATATACATATACCATGATACATAGGTCTGGATGGTTATTTTATTGTTCCAATAATTACATTTTTTCTTAATTAAATCCTGGGAAGCTGTTCACAACGAATTGTAAACATAAGTCATGCAGACTCAAAGCATTAACAGTTCGGGCTTTTAAAAGGAAACACTAGGTACGAAATTAAAGCTTCCATTTATTCGACCAGCTCCCAGGAAAGGGTCTGCAACTGTCCGTTTTGACTCCTCTGTGTCAGAAAGCCCAAGGAGAGTTCAGTTGTGAAAAGTTCCGGGAGGGCAAAGGGAGAGAGGTAATCCTTCTCTGTTGTGGTGAATGTAATAGGCCCTAGCTGCAGTCTTCACTCGGACAAAACTCCCACTGCAACCAATGGTTTCTTTCGCATGAGTGAGGACTTGCGGAATCAGGGGTTCACTTCTAACATGCTTGTTCTGCTCCAAAAGCATAGCATGTTTCCTGGTGCCTATGTTTGTTATATTTATACCTAAATGCCCAGAGGTGGCTGTGTTGGCCTATTGAATGTTTGCTAAATGAATTATTTGAATATATTAGAATTAGGCTAAACCCTAGGGAGAGTAATATGACAAAATTAAACAGACCCTACCACCGCCAGCAGCCGGTTTCTGTTCTTACTGAAGTTAATGGGAGTTTAGTCGTTGACTTCAACTACTGCAGGACCGAGGCCCCAGTGACCAAGATAGCGGGAAAAGGTAGTTTTCACCTCGTCTGCAAAAGAGATCAATGTTAAGGGAGTTTCCTGATCTCCCTAGCAAATGACTAAATGTGCTGTGGAAAGTTATCACCCTTCTCTATTGCTATTAGCAGCAGCTGTGCTTGCGCCCTCGGTCCCCTGCCATGCTAATGTTCAGACAGGCAGTGTGTAGGAAGTAATGCACTTTCCTGCCCCTATATATTAATCTAGATTAAGCAGCAGTGTGTCCTATAAATACCTGAGCCTTCATTATCTGCAGTTATTTTGCAGACCCTATATTACTTATTTTAATGTTCCTTTCTCCCCCAGTGGCATATTTTAAAGGCATGCACTTTCTCAGCGGCTGGCATACTCTGTGAAACGCCAAGAATCAATAGATTCTGGCGCTGTAACGGTTGCATTTTGTAGACAGACGCATTCTGAGTACTATTATCTGCTTGCCGATCAATATGGTGCCTCATACCTGTTATTTTGGGGGAAGCGGCTAGAGGGTTTTAGAGTAATCTGTCAGAATAGGTAACACAATAATCCCGCTTTACAAAATTCTGTTGTTAAACCGTAGGTATGTAATTGTCACAGCGGGTCTCTTTTTCACTGGGGCCTTTCAGTTACAGCCCGGATCCTGAGTGAATGAAATATACTTATGTCCGCAATCTGAAAACTATTCAAGGTGGGGGAGGTGGAAAATAAAGTAGCCCTGATCCAGTCGTCTGTTTTTTCTGGGCAGAGTATCCAGGACTAGTCTGGATCGCAAAGCGAATGTGTTTTCCTGATGCGAATGAGTTAGCGTCAGAGAGAACCGGCGTCTTGCTGTTCCGAGCTGGAGAATAAAGCGCAAGAGCTGCCTTCAGGACCATGGACAGCGGACGGGCTCCGGCCGCTGCCGATGGGACCTGAGCAGAGTATCTCTTCCCCCGCTTTGTTCCTCTGCAGGCGCAGGCCCGGCTAAACAAAGACATTGAGCAAGAGTTACATTCAGAGCCCTGGCTTCTTCCCCTAGCTCCAGGACTCCCATGTCTAACTACCCTACTCTCACGCGTAGGACGTTTTAAGACTCCACCCAAAGCCTCTCAACAGAAGTCAGATTCTCTGTTCTTTCAAGCTTCCCTAGCTGTGAAACCTTCTCCCCCGGCCCTCCTACGTTTAGAATTGTTTGGCTGCTTTAATTTCTTCAGCATCACGTTACTTGGAGTGCAAGTCAAATCAGGTAGAATAGCATGTCAAGAAGCCTCACAAGGGGACGAAATAACAAGCGGGCATTCCGAGCCTAATGCTCCTGGACGGTTGGTAGGAAGATGCATAATAAACAATTCTGGGAAGAGGATGACCATATATAATGTGTCTCTTTAATTGACTTTAAGCCCAGAGAAGCAAAAGAGTAACCTACTTCTCCTGCTAAAGCACTGCTGCTGTATTGCCTATAATAAACCAGCCCCTCCACAGAGCCTTCTCGGGACAACTGCCACTTGAAGAAGCTTACCCAGTGGCAGCCTTCCTTTCCTCACCAGAGGATTTAGCCATTCCAGCTGTGCATTCCTATCTAGTCTAGATTTTCTTAGGTGAAGGACTGTGGATTTTTATTTCTTGCGTCTGGCCTGTTTTTATTTTACTGTTGTGTTTGTTCTATGGTCTATGATCTTCAGTGCTGGCTTCAGGCTCCGCTCTTGGCATTCACCGCGTGCCTTAATTGTATGACATTAAATCAAGGTCCGCTGTGAACACGGAGAGTCAGAGCCTCGGATCTCTCACTCCGGAAACAAAATAGCAACTGATCTTTGCAAGGAAGGTAGATTTCCCCCACCACCCCCACACACACACACCCGCTCCTCCTCCAGGCCTGGGCTGAAGGTTAGTCATGTCGGAGGTGTCTTCCTAGCCCATCTGTTATTTCCAAGGGCCAGGGGTCTGTGAAGTGTGCCTGCCAAGTTGCTGCTCTAAATTGGCCAGGCTTTTCTGGTCGCTTGAAATAGAGAATCTGGTTTTGCTCTAGTTTTGATTTCTCAGATTGATTCTTTTTTTAAGGCTAGCAAATGTAGGGTTTGCCCCCTCCCCCCACCACACACGCTAGCTTTCGCACTCTGTGCGTCGGAGACAGGCCCAGCATCTCCAGCTCCTCTCCGCTAGGAAGGGTTTCGGAGGGGGAGCGCTGAAAAATGAAAGGACAGGACGCCTCATCTTTCTTTGTAAAGCAGAGAAAATTAACCCGATCGCACCTGCCCCTTCCCGGGAGGCTACGGACAGCCCATCTGGCCTGCCTAGAGTAACTGTGCAGTGGAAGGAAAACAACCTACTCTTTTACTGCCCTTTTAACCGTTTAAACCGACATCAAATCCAGACTGATTCGGACGGCATCCCTGAGCCAAGGAGGGTTGCTGTGCAAAGCCTATTACCCAGTCTGAATGCGATCAGCGCCCTAAAACTGAGCCAGTTGACCTCTACCGGTGGCCTCTGAAGTTTAGCTTCAGTGGGAGAGAGAGAGAGAGAGAGAAGGCACATTGGGCTATTTCTTTAGACGAGCGCGGTTCCATTCTGGCAAACGGAAATGGGTGGCTCCAGGAGTTTGGTTTCCCAAGGACTTCAGTTGCACACCAGCTTCTGTGCGTACAGGACGTGGGGACGCGGTTCCTACCCTGACCACCATAGATCCGGAGAGTGAGCTCCTAGAAAACAGACAAAGCGCGAGAATTAGAAAGGACTGGGGGTGGGGGAATAGCGTTACAGCCCGCCCGCAAAGCACTGGCTAATGTATGCAAATGACAAAGGAGGAGAGGGGAGGCTGATCAGGAGAAGTGTGTGTGTCTGGGGGGAGGGAGATACACTGAATAGGGAGAAATAAACGGGGAAATCGACTTTCCTGAGCTGCCCCTTCAGCCAGGGAGAAGAGCTAATGAAGGACAGGAGTTTCCGGGGCCGGGAGAAAGATGGGGGAGCAACCCCCCGTTTGAGTTTCTATGTAAACAAAGCGGATTTGCCAGTCGACGACACCGTTCGAGCCAGATAGGATCTTTCCAGAGCTCGCAAACCTCAGCCACAAACGGGCATCCAAAAAAAAAAAAAAAACCCAACCAAAACAAAAAAGGCAACAAAAGGTCCCCCTCCCCATCCCCCCAGTTTAGGTGCATTCAGAATACACTAGCCGAGCGCGAAATCCGTCCGGAAAATCCGAGCACTCCCCATAAACCGCCCCCCCCCACACACACACACTAAAAAAGGAAGAACCAGCTAAACAAAAAGAAAGGTTCAAACCTGCGGAGAGCTCAAGCTTTTCCCCTGGCAGCGCCGGAGCCCGCAGAGAACGCGAGGTGAGGGTCCTCTTCGGTGCTAGGTGCTTTTTGGGGTGGGGGGTGGCGCGGTCTGGTCTTTCCCCCTCGCTTGCTGATCCCGAATTAGGGATTAATGGCTCTCCAGCCAAACAAATAAGGCATCTGCCTTCAGTACAAGCGGATTACACGGGGCTGCTGACGTCACCAGCCAGGCAGATGTTGGCTCCCAAAGTCCTGATCATCTCCCCGTGTCCTTGAAACCAGAGCGAACCCGGCAGGATCTCAGCCCTGAGCTGCTCAGCCCGGGGTCGTCACGGGCGAGAGAACCTCACCCGAGCCCCGCAAACCAGCTCTCTCTCCAGCAAACTCTCCCACTTGGGAGGGAGAGGTGAAAGGTCGATCCCAGTGCAGCTCCCCCAGCCTCAGTATCGCCTTAATCTGCACACTGACAGCAGCGAAGTGGCTCCTAATCCCAGCCTCACCCCATTCAACCCTTCCCCAGGAAACAGCTGAATTCAATGAGATCCCCTTCACTGCGGCACCGCTTTGGTGTTTATAGCGTCATTCGCTGTGGTTTGACAACAGGATCCGCTAGCTCACTACAGCCCATGCATTAACCACCGTTTCACCACAGACTGCAATCTAGTTATGACCCAGAGTCAGTCTCCTAAAACTCTCTGTATTCCGAACAGGCACCCCTTACCCGTGTCCTCCAGCGGACTGATTCATCAGACAGAAACAGACGCTGTTCTAAATAACAGTGATCTGAAATTCAGACCCACAAATGAAACCAGTTTGGCCTTACCATATCTATATCCTTTGAAACACAGGGTTTGAGCAAACCTAAGCGGGTTATATAAAATACTCTCTCTTCATATTATCAGGAGAAACTTTTGTTTATGGTTAGATCTATCCATGTCAATCAGAGAGATTCTATTCAGAGAAACTGGAGGTAGGGTGTTTATAGATGCTTATCTTTCTGTGTATCAAGTAAATCTGTTTAGATATTAAAAACAAAGCCAAAAACCCAAATAATCCAGCTGCACTCAAGGCCTCACCCAAATTGATGCTTGTTTAAAACAAAATCGAATCTTATATTTAAATGACTTAAATGAGGGAAAGTGTATTTATAAATCTTGTAGGTCGAGGTAAGGCCTTTCCATCCATAACTCCCCATTTCTAAGCTCAGATATATTTAAACTCCCGAGTTCGGGCGAGAGCTTTCTGTGCATGTTTCTGCATTGACTGGTTTGCGAGGATTTAAAAGGATTTGAAAAGGCAGCTCAACTGGAATGATCAAAACGAAAAGGAAATTTGCCTTAGAGCCATGGCTGTAGATTTGCTATGGAATAAAGTCGATGACTCATCATCCTAGTCTCTGCATCAAACAATTGTTTCAATAATGTCCGTATCGCAGTCAGGCAAAATAAATGGTATGATATAATGTAGTGGGGTGAGGAAAGCAGCCCTTCAATATCTAGATTATTTTTAAGGAGCTGTTTTATAGATCTGTTCCATATTATCCTTGTCTGTCAAAGTGGCATTTAATTTTCCCAATTGTGGAACTTGATCACTGATCAAATCAATTTAATTTACACCAATGTCACTCAGCTGATGTTAGAATTGAATTGTAGATTTATTTTTGTCTCTGCGTGTAAGAAAAAGCACACAAATGCAGAGTGGGTTGATCTTTCTGACTTCCGTAACAGGTAACAACGGATGAAAGTCTTATAAATACTAATTCAATAGAATAGAAGGCGGACTGCTATGCAGCAAAATTAGAAATGCCACTTCCCTCATCTTTTGTTTTTGAAACTTCTGCTATTACAAGAAATCGAAACCACATGTATTGAGAAAGACAGAGCAGCTAGTTTTCTTATTATTTTCACATGTGTGTATTTTGAATATTATCCTGTGGTCGCTTTACTCTATATTTTCTAGCCTGATATTCCTTTCCCATTTTAGTTTAATATCCGTTCGCTGTCCATGGTTTTGATCTGCATGATGGGAGATGAATGCTACATCTTAAAGAATGTAAATCGCTGTGTATTTGCACAAACTCAATAATGCATTTGAAGTTGTTGTCAAATGGCGAAGTAAACTGCAAGTTTCTCCAGGGCACTTTTAAAAAGAAGTCTCTTTGTTTTCCAGTGCAGAGCAGTGAACACAGGTGGGAATTTGCATTTATTTATAGTTTATTGCTTTTAATAGCTGACAGATGTCTGATACTTCGAAATCATAATGAAATGGTGACTACTAAGCCCGATACTCTTAAAACCTAGAGCTCTTTCACCATTTCTTTAAACGGATTAACGTGGAAATTAAGAAGTGATTTTCAATTATGATTCAGGGAGCGAACATACATAACCTTAATTTAAGCTATTGGAAAACCACCATGTCTTTATATTTTATAGCGGACATAAAATATGCACGAATCTAAAATACTACTCAGAATCTAGAATCTAAAATACTACTCAGAGACTCGCAATGCAATCGGTGTATAAAAATCCCTTTCCTGTTTAAAAAATAGTTGATTACCACTACAGACTTTTAAAGCTTTAATAAGTTGCAAGAGACATTCAGGACCATTTCATGGCTGGATCAGCCTTTTCCCAGTTGAATTTTTCCTGTCTGGGTTATTCCGTGTTCTTGCTTAAAGTATAAAGACAATTAAACCACACAAAACAGCTCCCCCCCCCCCCGAAAAGGAATAAGTATAAAACACCGCCCGCGCTTTCTAATTTCTTTCATGCGAAGAAACTCATGTGCAAACGCGCCTGCAAGTCCCATTTCAGTGCAAGTGGCTTCGGAGCCCTGGGCTACCAATTGCCCCCTCGCCCTCTCAGAAGCAAAGAGGTGCAATCTCAAACGCGCGGTACCGGCGGCGGGGCAAAAAGCAGGGCTGCAGCCATTCACACTTCATGGGGTCGGTGGCTTCTTTCAAAGGAGCCTTGAAGTATTTAGGATTGGGGGGGGGGGGACCCTTGTACCGGAAGAAAATGGCCTAAACACAATAGGACTCGCCATTTTCTCCTGCCAAAGCACAAAGCAGCTCCGCGGCTTCAGCACCACACAAAGAAAGCATGGACCGGCTGAATTCTCTTACCACCCCCCCACCCCCCCGGGATTCAAAGGCTTTCCCCTAACCGATCCGGTTTCCCAGGCGCGCTCACACAGAAAAGGCGATGGGGGGGGGGGGGGAGGAAGGGGTGTATTGATCTCAGGATAGTGAAATCAAATCCTGCCAGAACAAGTCCGGCCAACACAAGGGCGTTTGCAAAACGGGAAAGCGATTTTGATCCCGGAATTCCTTCAAGCTGGGTGGACTCAGACCCCCACGTTGGGCTGAAGAGGCTAGACTCAGAGCACGACCACGTTGCCTTTAAAAAAAAATTGCACGCGGGCCAGAAAAGACCTTCTAACCCAGTTGGAAATAGAGCTAGCAAATCCCCCCTGAAACTGCGATGGGACCTGACATTCCACGGTGTGAAGCTACAGCGGCAGTAGCCATGGCCAACATGTGCAGGGTGGTCCGTCCCCAACCGGCCAAGGAAGCGCAGGGCTTTCCTTTCCTTCGCTTTCCACCTTGGGTTCAGGACGGTACAAGGCAGCAGACTCCTAAAGAAAAGGAAAAACAAAACAAAACCACCCCTCGCAGCAGCGCCCTAAAATTGCAGCAGGAGGTTTGTACTTACAGCCAGCGCTAAAGTGAGTAATCCTCATCCCAGGTAGGGTTCGCTTTGCCTTTAGTTCTGGTTTGCTCCTAGTCTCCATGGTTCAGAATGGATGAAAATACAGATCTGCCGGCGGGCAGGAATGGATTTCTTTCATTGTTTAAATGCAGGAACGAGACACGGTGCGGTGTCTCTTCTAATAGTTTCTGCTTGGGATTCAGCAGCTCTCAGCCCAGTAAAGCAAGGCTCCGTGTGTGTCTCCCCCTCCTCCTCCTTCTCCTTCTCCTCCCCCCCCCCCCCACTTTTTTTCTCTCCCAAAAGAGGGCAGGTCGCTCCCTGAATCCCAATGAGTTAAATCAGTCACTTTCCTTCTCATGCATCAGCAGCCACTTTAACAACCCCAGGGCTGCGGGCACAAAAGAGCATTTAGCTGCCTCCAATTTGTGCAGAAGGCCTGTCCTTAATTTGTTTTCGGAGTATAATTAAATCATGTATTTCGCCCGAAATAAAAATACCACGTCCCCAACTTTGGCGATTGAACCACTAATTGTAACCTTTTTAATAAACTCCTGAACGTGCACTCATACTCAGCGAGCCTGCAAAGACCCCCCCATAAATTGACGAGCAGCATTTCTCAGCTACGGAGACCTGCATCCTTTGGAAAGGTCGGCGCTGTACAATCCACAATCCCTTGCCAATGAAGTCTTATATCAACAGAATCGCTCTGAAAGGATTACAAGCCGTCCAAAATAAAGCTTTAATCTGAAATCTACCTGGTGGCACATTCAATTGCAATCAAATATCAGGGATGGTTTAAACAGCCCCGCACAACCCAGTGTAATCTGATGTGGATTTCATTTTTTCAGAGACACACGCTGTGTCATTCGATAAATACTGGTTTTGGCCAGGTTATGACGCCGATTACTTCTTCGACAGCTACATGTATGTAACCGTCTAACTGCTGCTGAGGCGGAGAACTGATAAATAAAAGCAGATGCTAAAGAGATTCAGCTGTAGTCCTCGGCTTTGAGAAGCTAAAATCCACAGAAAGTCATTTACATCTCGGGTACTATCGCACTTGGAAAGCAAGCGGCTAACGTAATGCAATGCAGAGCGCATGTTGTCAATCGAAAACGTTAATCAGCAGAGCCCGTGCCAGTCTGCCTGTCGTGCCGCAAACCTGTTCTTCATGCCCACTGACCACTAGGGTGAGAGATGACCCTTCGGGGGCGCTCACACCATCTTGGTTATATAAAAAGTTTTCCTTTGTACTTTCTTTACACCCCTGTCATCTCCTAATTCCAACTGTACTTGCTCAAATGGGTTGTAATCCGACTCTAGAGGAGATTAAAGAGCCAGAGATAGCTGCGTTTAGGATTACCAAAAGGAAATGAAGGGATCTAATCCATCCCCCCTCAAGCCCTCCACCCCTCACGTATTTTTCAGTTTCAATCAGACTTTATATTACCTTTTAGTATTTTAAATACCTGGAATCGTTTGAAGAAGGGGGCAGAAATAGACTGAGAGCTAAGGAGTGTTTTTTCCCTTTGATGAATTCATTGGCACAGAATAAGGTGAGTTTGCAAAAGCAGCCAGCGCTGTCCCCCTGCTTGCCTTCCGCATCTCAAACACCCATTGCATGCGAATGGCTCCAGGGCCTGCAAGCTTACATAGAACCTCTTCTCTTCAGCCTACGGTTCACAGCAAGAATTCCATGTATGGAGCTGGCATGTGCAATCCACAGAATAAATCCGAGAGTGATCTAAGTTGCAGCAGGAAGAAAGGAATCTCAGTTTCCCCACACCAGCGATGAGATAAGAAACAGAATATTATTTGCACACAATAGTAACAAGTTTTAGAATCCACTTACCTTTAAACAGAGGAACGTGAATGTGTTGCTCTAATCGCTTAACCCCGCCATGGAAACAACTAGCATTTACTACATCGATACGAAAATAAAATCGTGGGGTGCTTTCCACGTTTATCTTTAAAACAAGGAAATAGCATCACCTTGTGCTTAAAATGATACGAAAAATCTATACAGAAATGTAACATTTATCTAAACAAGTCTGTTACGTTGAGACCAATTTGTTCTGTGGAAGGTCTGTAGAATAAATATTATGCAGTTGAAAAAATGTGCTTAGAGATTCTAAATCTCTCTTCTTATCTGTCAGTTCAAATATACCCTCACACCCCGACGGGTTTAAATGGGTAGCTGTAACCTAGACTGTCTGACCTAGACTGTATCATTTTGTATGAATTCTTAATTTTAATTTTTTGTTCTGATTACCCCTGCAGTAAATCAGGACCACCTGAAAGGGTGTGGTAATATACTATAAGGGCCTGCATTAAAAAAAAGAAGAAAAGGGCTAGTCATCCTTTTCAAAGATTTTGTTGTGTAGAGTGCATATCCTGGTCCTTGCAAGCCTGGAAGCGTGTTGAATCAAGTGCCCTGGCAGGAGCTACAGAGCTAGCGACACCACATATAGCCCGCATTAATTATTGAGGTTCATTTCCTGATTTAGGGCTCTGGTTTCCTTAGGAAGCAGACCACCTGCCACAAAGCAGGCCAGCACCTTTGGTCAAAGCTTATGAAAATGCAACCCAACTCATTTGCAAGAAAGTTATTGCTCATTAGTTGGTAATAAACTTCTCTGGAGAGGACACAAAAGTCTTTTAAAAGTGCAAGGTGTTCTTTGTTACGGCATCGCAAGTGGGATTAGCATATCAATGCAGAAGGGGAACAATAGACTAGGGTTTGCCTCCCCCACCCCTTTTAACATTTTAGGTGAATCTAGTAG